CTAGTAACGGCTCCAGAGAGACATCGCCAGAGTAGCAACTCCAGACGGTTTTTTGATTTTTTAAAGGAGGGACCAGTTGCCATCTTTGATATTAGCAAGCTACTGGTATTTGAAAACAAAACGTAGACCACCCAGGCAACTGATAACATCACAGAAGAGTTGACCACCCAAGACCAGTAGGAAGACCGTACACTCAGAATAAAGGTCAGGTTTTGTTTGTTTTGCGAGCGTGCACACACCAAGGTCATTGCCATCCGGTCAGCAGCTGTGACTACTTGCTACTTTTCCCGTTGGACAGCTTGCCAGGTGAACGCTGTATTACGGACTAGCATTTGGAAAACGTTTGAGAGCCTTCACGATGACTGTGCCAAAGCCACCCCGAGCGGGTTAGAGTCGAACTGTGCCCAGTAGGGTTTGCAGTAATTTTCAGAAGTAGAGCACTGCCCTGGGCGGGGCTCTCCAGCGTGCCAAACCCCTGGGAATCCTGGCCCAGCCTCATTGATTGGAAACCTTAACGATCAGAATAGTCAGGACACGCTCAGCAGCCAACCCATGTGTACACCATTCGCCCCCCAGGCACTCCTCGTTCTGCACCACAACCAAACCTGTTGCCAGTTGGGGTGACACCCACTCGGGGCAGCTGTGTGTGTGTGTGTGCGCGTGTGTTTCCACAACAGACCATCTTTGTTAGGTTTTCTTGACTGTGCAGTTGTTTGCCAGCCCTCTCTGTAGGTTAGCCATCAGTCACGCACTGCTTGTGACAGCGAAGCTTGATTTGATGGCAGCGGGCTTTGGGGGGTCTTTATGAAGGCAGGTTCCCAGGCCTTTCTTCCGTGGCACCAGTGGGTGGGTTTGAAATGCCAATCTCTGGGTCAGTAGCTGACTGCAAACCCATGCACTATCCAGGGACCTCCCGCTTCAGCATTTGCTGTGACTGAGTCTAACTTCCCTCACAGCCGCATAGGATAGTGTCCAACTGCCTCTGGGGGTTGATGAGGCTGGATCTCGTGAAGAAAGCCTCACCTTGAGGCACCTTGAGCTTAGCAGCCCAATTCATAACCCCGTTTACCTCCAGGGCCCCTTCTCTATCAGTACAGCGGTGCATCTGTTAATCTCTGATGGCACAGCTATACAGCAATGCCCTGTAGCCATAAGAAGGTAGGAGAGGCCATTCCTTTTAAGTACTGGCATGAAAGATCTCTAAGGTGTATTGAGAAAGGTGCCACACATTATTCATGGTCTTCTACCTTTTGTGGGAAAAGTGAACTGTAAACTAACATATGTACATATTGTCTACAATGTTCAGAGCTGAACATGCATAAGAAACTAATAAGGAGTGGGAAACAACACAACCTGTATTATAATTTTGGATTTTGAACCAAGTCAATTGATTACCGGTTAAAAAAACCCCAACAAACAGAAAACAAGGGAAAATGGAAAGTGAAAACTCTTTAAATAATTGCTCCTTCACAAATGATGTATGTATGGATTGTGATGAGTTGTATGAGCCCTTAATAAAATGATTGTTTAATTAAAAAAAAAAAGAAAACCAACCAAACAAACAAAAACACTTTTAAGATCTTTCTCTCTGGCATCTGTCAAGGGTCTAGTTATAAAGTTGGAGCTAAGGTTGTCTGATAAAATGAAATATACCCCATTAAGCTTGAATTTATGACAAATATTTTTAATATAAACATGTTCAAATTATTGAATGAAACACTACAATTTAAAATATTTTATTTTTAATAAAACATTCAAATTAAAAATAATAATAACGATTGCTCCTTGCTTAGAGGAGAAGATTGCTCTCCCTGCTCTGATTCTTTTGCCCTCTCCACACACTGACCCCAGAGGTTCACTCTGAATCAGAATCAATCGATCGATGGTTGTGGGTTTGGGTTTTTAGATGGAGCCTTGCCTCTAATGTTTCCTTCCTTCCTCTGTGTGCAAAACACAACTCTTCTTCTCTGTTTCATTGGCCCTTCATCCACATGTCATATCATTCAATTATTCAGTCATATCAAGAAGAGTTGTACAATTAATTGTCATCAGCTTCAATGCTAGAATATATTCTTTCTTGTACTCGTGATCCATGTAATTACTTTTTTCTAATTGTGGAAAAATATACACAAGACATTCTCCAATTCAACAACCTCTACACGTATAATTCATTGCCATTGATTATACTCTGTTTTGTACAACCATTACTGATATCCTTTTCCAAATTATTCCACCATCATTAACATAAACTGAATGCCCCCTCAGCAGCAAATCTTCCTCCTTCACCTATGGCCACCATTTGTCATGTTTCGTTTCTTTTTCTTTTTTTGTGAGTTTTCTTCATAGAGTATTCAAATATCATAACTTCCATAATTAAATTGCCTTTTTAAAAGTTGTATGCACATCATGACAGTCAGTTCTAATGCTCCCTCCTGCCTTCCCCATTCATTGTTTCCTGCTGAAATCCCGTCACCCTGGCCGACCCACCTGCCCCAACGTCCCTCCTAAACCACGCGTCTGCTATTGTCTCTGTGCAGCCACTCCTCCTGTGCTTCATAAACTGGGGATCCCAACAGAAACAATAAAAAACAAAACTGCAACAACAACAAAAAAAACTGCATGAAGAAAATAACAACAATGTAAAGATAAAAATAAAAAGAAAGAAAGAAAAGACCACCATCAATATTTTAAAAGCCAGAGACAAAATTTCTGCCATGGAATAAGCAAGAAATACTTGAGCCTAGAGCAAATTCAGGTTGAGTCAAGGGGGAGGTCAACTGACCAAGTATCATATTACACCAGGTTTGAGCCACCAGGATCAAGTTTACCATATCCTCTGATCGGAAAGCTGCTACTATCAGAGTTCCTTGCTTGCAAAGCACATTCCTGTCCTCCTTTGCTTTCAAAATCCCTTTTCTTCCTGGAGCAGTGTTCCTGACACTCCAGTAACCCTTTTATTTTTCTTTTAAAGCCCAGTCCATCCAGAATCACCTTTTTCCTCATCCATTCTGTGCTTGCTTGTTCTCCTCTTCAGCATTCTATTTAAATGGTGTTTATTTTTCTGCTAGGTTATAAGCAAGCTTAGAAAGGGCCCGGGTCTGATGTCAACTTGAGGGTGTTGTCATCTGTGGCTGTTGGGAACAGAACTTTTATAATCAGCAACGTTTAAAAATAGCTATGCCCATCAGCCAAACTATTTTTCTTCTTGGAGTTTATACCAAAGAAATCAGCGGTGATATAACCGACACGCTAGCAAGGGGAGTCACTCTGGCCTCACTTATAATAGTGGGACAACGAGGAGTCATCCAGATGCCTAACAACAGGGGGCTGCTTGAAGTATGATCACGTGTAGTACTTAAAAACAGCAGTGTAGTGGGAGCCCTGGTAGTCTAGTGGTTATTCATTGCTCCGCTAACAGCAAAAACAGCAGGGTAGTCAGTTGAACTTGCTCACCTCATGCTGATGACTGAGAGTTGAATGAGGTCTTAGAGAGCTTGACTATTTCTCTGGGCTAATTTTAACAATGATTTCTTGAGATCTTGTAGATGCTGCTGCCCATACTGTGAAGAAGAAGTCAAGGAGTGAGGTTGGCCCAGAGAGGAAGGAGACTTTTCTCGAATGACAACAATGACAAGAGAGAACTGGACCCACAGTGCTCTGAGACAAGAGAGTCTTGTGAAAGGGAAGGATGATGTCTGGAAGTGGGGCACCGGCCTCCCAGGGAGCAGCGCCTCTGTGTGGGAGACCTCCCACTTGCACTTTAGACAGCTCCGTTACCACGAGACGTCCGGGCCCCAGGAGGCTCTGAGCCGACTCCGGGAGCTCTGCCGCCGATGGCTGAGGCCAGAAGCACGTACCAAGGCCCAGATCCTGGAGCTGCTGGTGCTGGAGCAGTTCCTGAGCATCCTGCCTGGGGAGCTCCGCACCTGGGTGCAGCTGCATCGGCCCGGCAGTGGGGAGGAGGCCGTGGCCCTTGTAGAGGAGCTGCAGAGGGACCTTGATGGACCAGCACTAAAAGTAAGAAACTGCTGAGGGGGTGGGGGTCCGCCTGGGACAGAGGCAAGGAGACAACAGGGTGGGCTGGAGGGTGATCTTGTGGATTTAAAAAAAAAACAATACCACAATAGCAAGCCCAATGCTAATTAAAGTTGGCCCATGAGCCTTTGGGACTCTTTAGAGTATCTATAGAGCAATAGATTTATGATGAGAGTCTTTGGACCCAACTCAAAATCAACAAAAAGACATGGCCTCAGCTTTGTCCATCCCCCCACCCCCCCCCTGCCACACACACACACAGTGATGCTCTCTACTGCAGAGGCTGGTCCCGAAACGGGAAGAGCACAGTGTTTATAGTGTTCCCTAAATAGAAGCTTTTGTATTGCTTGTGTAAGTCCATTTGGAATGATGATGTCAGCCCAGATCTGCTAAGACCTCACCTTGTGGCTGGGTGCCCTTGCTGGAGACCCTGGGAGCCAGGGGACTGGGGTGAAATATTTGAATCTGAAACAAATTCATATCCTTGACCACTAAGTGGGAATCTTAAGATAGCCTCTGGTATTTGAGTAAGATCCCTCTCTGCCAATTTGTAGCTCATTAGAAACCCATCTATAGATGAAATTTGACCTAGAACTTAAACTTGGGAGTGGTACCAAGGATGGGCGTATTTGCCTGCTTTAATCGTAAGAATGAAGTGTTTTAAAGCTGTGAATTTAATTAAGGATCACTAAACCAACCTCTTCCTCCCTTGAGGTTAGAAAACCGTCAGGAAAAGGTGGATGAGTTACTTCAGGTTGGTCAGACGGGTAACGTGCAGCAAAGCAAAGTGTGTAAACTCCCTGTCCAGTGTGGGTTTTACTGGGGCAGGATGGGCTCCGTAATGGGGAAAATCGATGGCAGAGTTGGGATTGAACCCAGGTCTGACTCTAAAATCCATGCTCTTAATTACTGCTCGTTACTTCCCATTCCCTCCTTAACCCACCCCCAGGTCTGGCTCTGTCCCCACTGTTCTGTCCACTGTCCTCTGGAAAGGTCACGAGTGCCACAGGGCATAATGGCAGCTCCATTGTTCTCATGGCAAAGGTTTACTGCTGTTGTGATGCCCCCTACTGGAGGTGGGTATCTCTGATCTCAGGTAGAAGGAGGTCCGAGGTGGTTAGGTGAGTCCGTTTTCTGGAGGTACCAGAAGAGCCAATTTATTTTGTCTTGTGTCCAGGTTCCGGTCCGTACGCAGGTCCAGGACCCTCTGCAGGAGGGGAGGAGCTCTTCAGGAACACCACTTCCTTCTGCACTGGCTGGTTGTCACCGATCAGGGGGAGCGTGCCCGAGTCCTCTGACTGACCCAGTGGTGTTTAACCCCCAGGATCTTCAACATGGTACTTACTCAGTGGCCCTGGCTTTGGACTTTCTTAGGACTGCCCTCTGTCTGGCACACACCCCTGCTCCCAGGTTGCTACTTCCACTCCTGCTCTGGATGGGAAGTCTCACAGCGCCACGCTCTTTCTGCTGCTTCACCTCTTCTTGCTCTCCCTGGCCCTTTTCTGGGTCTCTCTGCCCCTCTATCCCTTGTTCTTGCTACTCATTGAGTTGTTCCGGCCCTGAACTCAGGGTCCCTCGGACAATGTTGGTGGGTCATTTTAAAGCCGTAAATATGTGACTTGCGTGTAGGAGCTAAGGGGCGTGTGGCGGTGAACAGGGCAGGAGTCACCTGACATGCAGCTGTTCTTCTTCCTCAGAACCTCTGGCCGCCGAGGTGTCTGCCCGTTCCCAGGAAGAGAACCCAAGAAATCAGTTAATGGCCCTCATGCTTCTCACAGCCCAGCCCCAGGTAAGGTCTGGTCCTCGTCTCTTCCTGACGGAGCCCTGGGGGCAGAGTGGTTACGAGCTGTGCTGCTGACGGCAAGGTCAGCACTTGGAACCACCAGCCACTCCTCGGGAGAAAGATGAAGCTTTCTACTCCCACGGGCAGTTGTACCCGGCCCGAGGGCTCGCTGAGTCGGCGTTGACCCTGGCAGTGGGTTTGTGTATTGCTTGTCGTCTCTGAGGCCCTGTCTAGACTTCTCAGTGGTTCCGTGTTCTCTTGCATCGGGTGCTTCAGAGTCCCGGCGGTGCCAGCTCATACACAAGGTGTGTGCTGCTGGGTGACAGACTTTACGTGGGGACTCATTTCTTAGTTTTATTTCCTTGTTCAAACCTTTTCTTGTGAATTTGGTGGGGTGTTTACATATCCGATCATCGTTCTTACATTCAGCAGCTTAACTTCTCAGACCTCTACATCGCTGGCTTTGTCACCCCAGGCCTCCCGCCTGCTTCCCCTATCTCTGTCTTGCAGTGTACTCTCTTCCCCTCACCCCGGGTGCCTGTCTGTTCCCTAAGCCATGCTTGCTCTCCTCTCCTGCCTCTCCCACCCCTGCTAGCCACCAGGGTCTGAGTTTCCTTGTGACTAACTTCACTTGGCATAATGTCCTCCAAATCCACCCACATCATGAGGTATTTCAGCGTTTCATCATTATTCTTTGATGATGTGTACTATTGGGCCGCTAACTGCAGGGTCAGCAGTTTGAAACCACCAGCTGCCCTGTAGGAAAAAGATGGGACTTTGTACTCCCCTTAAGAGTTCCAGTCTTACAACTGGATTATTAGATCCAAACCGATAAGACAGGGGAGGCTGCCAGGAAACAGGGAGCTCACAAATGCAATAAGGAAGAAATGTATTGGAATTTATTGTGGTGATTACACGACTCATATGAATGTGATGGAACTATTGAAATGCATATGTGAATTTTATGTTGGTAGAACTTAAAAATAAACAAACTAATTAAAAAACAGAGAGAGTTACAGTTTTGGAAACCCATAGGGGGCAGTCCTACCTGTCGTATAGGGTTGCTGTGAGTCGTCATCACTTGATGGCAGTGAGTTTGGTTTTTTGCTTTATATACCAAAGTTTGTTTACCCATTCTTCCACCGATTGGCATTTATGTTGTTTCTATCTTCTTGTCGTTGTGAACAGTACTGCAGTGACCATGCGTGTACATCTATCTGTGTGTCCTGTGTGCTTTATTTCTGTCGGGTATGTGCCAAGTAACTCCGTTGCTGGATCCAAGGCCATTTCCATCCCAGTGTTCGTAGAGGCGCCAGACTGCTTTGCTGTGCTGCCCTGCAGTCCCACCAGCAGCGTGGGAGGGGTCCAGTCCCACTGCACCTTCTCCAGCCGGTGCTGCTCTTGCTCTTTTGAGCGCTGCTATCAGTCTGGGTGCGGTGGGATCTCCTCATTGCTTTGATCGCTAATGATTCCGCATCCTTCATCGTATTCTGTCGGCGGCCCGAGTTTCTCCTCTGATGAACTGCCCCTGTGCCCTCGGCCCATTTCTTAAGTGGATTTTTCATCATCATCTTGTTGAGGGCTTAAGCTTTCTTTTTCTTTCTTTTTTAAAAATTGATTGGGATTAGGACACATATTAAATCATTCCATAGTTCAATCCCATCCAGGAGAATTGTGCATTTGCTTCCACAATCAGTTCCCAAACATTCTTTTACTGTGTGGATCCCTTGACTCCATCACAGGTTCACCCTGCCCCTACCTCTGTGCCCCCTCCCCCCTATTCCACTTGCTGACTCTATAGGTTTATCGGTCCTAGTTTTCATACACCCAAAACCGAAAAAACATATACTGCTACTTCAAGAGGGTGATCCCCAATGACATAACACTCCTGATATACTCCCTAATATGTACAATCAAAAGCCAAATATAACAATACAACCCCCAAATACATAGGATTTGGAAACCAGGTCAGACCCAGCACACATCCTTGGGGGAAACTGCTGGCAAGTTGTAACTATTCAAGTCAGTCTTATGCCTTTGACCTTCTGCACTCAGCTCTCCAATGCAAAGCAGTTTCCCAGACTGTAGTCTGATACTCATCCCTCCCTTCGACTTCGGATTGTATGCTTCACAGCCTTCGGTGACTGATGATGGTGTGCTTTTCCATGTGGACTTAGTTGACATCTCGCTTCGATGGCTGTTTGTTTGGAGACAAGCCTTTAAGACTCCGGACACTCTTTTATCTGATAGCCAGGCACCACCTAATTTCTCGGCTGTATTTTCCTGTAGCACCTGTCTCCTCTGTGTTCCCTTCCTGGAGGCGAGTACTGAGCAGGAACATCATGTAAGAACTAATTGCTCTTTAGTTGGAGCTGGGATTTAGTGTGTGCCCCAAACTTATACCTGGATTTATGTTTGTTTGTTTGTTTTTTCTTTCAATTTATTATTATTTGGGAATTAACCCAAATGACATGTCATTGTATTATTCAATCTCATCAAACAGGCATTGTGCCATTGCTTTCATAATTGGTTTCCAAACATCCCATTTCTCCCTGGGTACCCTGACATCATCTCCCTTTTATCACAACCCCCGCTCCCCCTCCTCCCCCCACCCTTTGTTCTACTTGCTATCCCTATGGGTTCATTAATCCTGGGTTTCATTTACTGAAAAATAGAAAAACTTGTATTGCAACCTCAAGAGGGTAATCCGCGCCCCCCATAGCATCTCTGAGATGTGCTCTAATGTGAGCAGACAAAAACCAAATGCAACAGAATGATTGTCACAGGCTTGCCAGAATAATACATATCTTATTCCACATATAGAAGCTGTTACAGATTTTAGAAATTAGTCCCCTGGAGGACTCCTGACTTCTGCTTGATATCCCTTACCCACTTCTTGGCTACACAAAGTGTCCTTCCCATAAGCAAAAGGAGCCTTTCAGTCGGGGAGCTCCTGAGCCGGGGTAACTCCCACACACCTGTTGTTTCAGGAATTGGTGATGTTTGAAGAGGTCTCTGTCTGCTTCACTTCCGAGGAATGGGCCTGTCTGGGCCCAATTCAGAGGGCCTTGTACTGGGATGTGATGCTGGAGAATTATGGAAATGTGACCTCACTAGGTAAGCACCCCTTTTCCCATAGCACTAGTCTTTGTCTTATTGATCTTTGCTTATTGGTTTTCAGACTATCATGGTGATATGTATTTATGTTGGGAAAGAAAGAAAATTAGAAGAAAACCGTTTTCTCAGTGCTACTTTTTCCAACAGCTACTATCAACATTTGACATTTTGAGTCAAACTTTTTTATGTGTTTGCTGTGTGTGTGTGTGTGTGTGTGTGTGTGTGTGTGTGTGTGTAGCCTACTTTCCCTTATTTTCTCCTTCCCTCAAAACACCCCATTCCTGTAGAGGCTGTCAATCGTTCCAGGAGAAGACAGTCTCCCCTTCCTCCCGCTGAGGACCCTGGGTTCCATCTGCGGGCCTTCAGTCAGCAGGCCAGAGCATGGAACGGACTCAGCCTCCACGGGCTCCTGTGTGCCCCCTTGTGTTAATAGACACCGCCAGTCATGTCTGTATGTTGCTGTGTAATTTGTACCGTAATGCAGTCAGTGATTTCCTTATTGTGATGGTAAGCATCTCGGTGCTGAGGTTTATTCTTTAGAAGTAGAGTTACTAGGGCTAAGCATTGGAATGGTCCTAGGGCTCCTAATGCCAACAACTCTGCACGGTGCTCACTCTCCTCTTCCCCCTTTACCTGTAGAGCACTATCATGCTCTTTCTGCTCCCCCCTCATTGGTGAAGCAATTAGCTAGGCCAGCAGTTCAAATCCCCCAGCCACTGCGATGGAGTGTTTACACTCATAAAGGGTATTGAGTAATCCCGTGTGTGTGTGTGTGTGTGTGTGTGTGTGTGTGTTTTCGTTAATTTGATTATTAGCCCGGTTGAAATCTTTTTACATGTTTATTGGTCATTTTTCTTCCATTTATAAAATTTCTGCAGTTCTCGAGCATGGAACTTAATTTCTTTTATCTAATCCTTTGTCAAACTTTACATGTATTTTTCCCATTTTTTAACTGTCAGCATTAGTTTTTAATTGTTTTGTTTGCCGTTCAGGGTTTATTTTAAAATTGCTATATTTTATAGCTGACTGTGTTTTAGATAGGAGTTTACAGAGCAAATTCGGGTCCCGTGTAACAGGATTTGTGCAGCTTGCCCCGGGACTTTGCTGACCGTTGTTTCGATGTGTCTGCATTCTCAGGGCCCGCTCTATTTGTTCTGTCTCCTTTGGTTGACCTCCCTGCTCCTCCTTGCTTCTCATCTCTACTTTTGGGTAAATGTTGAACATTTGGTGTCATGTCATTGATATTGCTTATTTTTATTGCCAGTCTATAATTTGGCTGAAAGGTGACCTCCAGGTGTGCCTTCTGTCCCCGGTTCAGAGGACATCTTAGGATGAAGTTTCTTTGGTGCCTTTGATCACAAACTGCTGGTATCAGCTAAGGAAGTGCAAAGAAATGCCACTGAGTTTTGTACCTTTATCTTATATCCTACATCTTGTTAAACTTTGTTACTTCTGCAATTTTTTTAGTGGCTCCACTAGTCTTTGCTATAATCAAGATCATTTTATGAGCAAACATGGATCACTTTTCTCTCCAGTCTAGATGCGTTCAGTCCATTGCTCCTGCCTGGGTGCGCTGGCTGAAACCCTCTTGAGGAAGCGAGGCGGTTCAGCACTTGATTACTCACCAGCAGCCTGGGCCTTGAGCCCTCCAGGGTGTCCATGGGAACAAACATCGCAGGAAACCCTTTGTGGCCGCTTACCTTACCGCATAGGGTGGTTATGACTTGGGATTGACTACAGCACCACTGAATAGAGCTGGGAGAGAGATGGCCTTTCCTGGTTGGTCCTCCGAGAGGGAATGCATGCAGTGGTTTACCGTTAAGTGTGATGTCAACAACTAATTTTCTGTAGGTGTCCATGATCAGGTTGAGGAATTTCCATATCTTCTAATTTTTTAATGTTTTTGCCATGAATGTTGGGTGTTGTGGGCTGCTTGCTCTGTGTCTATTGAGATAGTCATGTGTTTTTCTCTATTGATATGGTGCATTCTATTCATGGGTGTTAGATTGTTTTGGGTGATAAATGTTCCATTCCTGATATATATATCAGGTTAATGTTGGTTAATGTTGCATGATCATTTATATATGTTGCTGGATCTGCCTTGATAATATTTTATTGAGAATTTTTATACCTATTCATAGACTTACTGGACTGTAGTTTTATTTTTTAGTGTTGTTGCTGTATTTTAATAATGACTGCATAGAATTTATTTTTTGAGATACGTGCCACTGCTTATTTTGGGAAGAATTTGTAAATAACTGGTATTCATTCTTTAAATGTTTGGTAGAATTCACCAGTGAAGTAATTGCCCATCGACTTTTCTGTATGGATAGGTTTCATCTTGTTTTGTTTTGCTTTAGCACTACACCTCAAGCTCTACTTGTTATAGGTCGATTCAGATATACTACTGATTTTTAGAGGTTAGTGGTTACATGTTTGACTGCTTACTATAAGGTCAGCAGTTCAAAGCCACTAGCTGTTCCTCAGAAAAAGATGTGCCTTTCTACTCCTGTAAAGAGTTAGTGCCTTGGAAACTCACAGGGACAGTTCTACCCTGTTCTATAGGGTCTCTGGGAGTCAGCATCAACTCAATGGTAGTGAGGGTTTTTTTTAGTGTTTGGGGTTTTTTTAGAGGGTAGTTATATCTTCCTAGGAATTTGCCCATTTTGTCTCAGTTGTTTAATTCATTGTCACACAATTGTTTGTAGATTTCTTCCTTTATAATTCTGTTGTTTCTGTAAGCCTGGGAGCAGTTCCCAGAGGGGTGAGTTTTGAGCTTTAAAGATACAGGTAGAGGGTCTGTAGGGAGTTGGGAAGAGTAAGTGCAGTCGGGCAGAGAACAGAGCGAAATCATGACTTGTTTGGATGACTACAAGTAGACCAGCCATGCTAGATTCATGGGCAACAACGTGCTCTTAAGAAGTGATATCAGAAAAAAAAAAAAAAAAGCAGAACAAATGAATAGAAGTGCGCAACACAGGTGTCTATGTATAGTTATGAATTTCGTGAGCCCCAATAAATTTAAAAAAAAAAAAAAAAGAAGTGATATCAGAAAAACAAGCAGACAGTAGCTGTGCTTAGTCACTAGTACTCTGTCCTGTAGGAGCCATCGAACATTTCGTGCATTAATGTGTGTCTGGAGGTAACATACGTCAATGTGGGTGCAAGAGGCGCGATGACTGTGACGGTGCAGGCTAAGTGGCAGCTTGGTTGGATCGTGCTCTCAGTGCTTTGGCAGTCAGGTAATGATGTAGTCATCCTTGATGTTGGGTACTGAGATGCTCACCCTCCTTGTCACTGATCTTCACATGATGTCCTGATCATGTTGATAGTGAGGAGTGGGTATATCATGCAAGTTGACTTATTTAGCAATTGCTTTGTTATATAATGGAGGAGAGCTCTTTTCTAATAGCATCTATGTGTCAGCTGTCATTGAGGGACACTGATGGCCTGTTTGAATCCAGAGAGCACTCCTTGATCTAATCCCTATGGACAGGGAAACTAGATTTCACTAAGGAATTGGCCTACGACACCTCCCTGTCCCTGCAGCCATGTGGAAGTGGAGTAGGGTAAGGTGATTGGCAGTTTGCCAGAGTCTCCAAATATTAAAGCCTGACC